AACCAATGCATGGCTTCGTGGGTCAGTTTTTAAGAACATCCAACTGGTATCTGGGAGGCACAGGTTTGAATTCTGTCAAAGCCTGCATTTTTTCTGGCTTCTTTTTGCAATTCCTTTAAATGAATTAGGATTTAATAAAACTTGTCTAGCGTCTTGAGTGTGGCTTCGGTACTCAGTTGGTAAAATAGAGCCAAAATAGTACCTGGGAAGCCCAAGTTTCATTCACCTTAAAGGCCAAACTTTTTTTCAGGCTTCTTAACAGCAATTTCTTTAATTAGATTTCACGTGCGGGGATAATTTATTCACCACTTTATCATCCGAAGGTCCAGCAAAATACTATGTATTTCCTTTCTCTTCAGAGCTATAACCGTTAAAATCATACTCTTGCTAAAAGCTGGTGGGTGGTATGGCTTCAACATCCTCTCGTTGACCAAAGCTCTCCTTACAACAAATTTTCGCTCTCTTCGTGACGCAGATTCAGAAAAAAAACAGCTGAGGGTTTGTTTTCATCCACTTTTTTTTGCTTAGGTTCGCTATTAACATATCCCTAATTCGCGAAAAGTATTCTTAATTGTTCCTTTTAACTCCTTTGTGATATCACCCTAACATTTGATTGACACCTTAAAATTTCCGTTTAGGTGTTGAACGCAAAAAAGACTGAAGAACCACCCTAATTTCAGCGTGCGAGTTTAAAACTGTTACCCTTTCCAAACCTCACGCGGATTCGCCGCCCATCGCTTTTGCGCACACAGTCAACGCACACAAAACGGCAGACTACGCAGACTAGTGCCCCTACTCAGGAAGTTCCTGTTGTTGGGTGGTGTAAGGTGACTTTAGATTTTAAATTTTTTTATGGTCCTGCTGGCTTTGGCGTAACTGGAATTCATATAGATTAGCCGATGACTTCACTTTTTTGTACTTTTTCGTATTTCATATCTGTTCTTGTTTTCCACCCGAAAGTCGCAGATAATCTTGCAGTTGTACTGTTAGTTTTGTTTTAGCTATAGCGAATTGGAATGGACGAAAAAAGTATGGCAGAAATGGCCAATAGTACAGAACGAGCTCAAGCCTTTGCTTTCTTGAACATTGAACTGATTTACATACATTAGCTTGGTTCCCTCGCTGATTCGTAGAAGGAAAACAGGTCGTCTTCAATTGATCATAGTTGATACTTACAGCAAAGGTCGTTTTAGTGGTTTTATCATGGATATAGTAGATCCCGTCAGATAAACCAGCTTGATCCCTTCGAATCAACTGACATGAAATACCTAGAAGAACAGAATAAAATTGTGAATGACTTCGAAAGTCAAATGCAACTTGTGGTATATACGGAGGTAAGTTGGGTGACAGTCCAGTTTACCAATTCAAAAGCAGGTCTACAATCAGCAACTGTAAAATAAACCAAAGAACTCGA